TTTGCTCAATCGCTTTCGATTGGATGACGTCCGGATCCCGTCCGCAGAGCCTAATGCAATCTGGCGCTTAACGACTCGACCTCACCTCGGCCGACTTGCCCTACCGCTTATGGTTGAAGAATAACAATCCAGTCGCAGGTGGTGTAGCGCTTAGAATCCGAGTTTTTCGCGCGCTTCCGACTCGGGATAGACAGGGGGAATAAACAGAACAAAGGATTGCAAGGCCGACCCGGCTAGACGCTCTCATTGTTGCCAATCTAGTCGATAAAAACCAAAACCAAGACAAAATAAAAAGTTTTTTGACGCACGTTTTGCGATCTGGCGCATAATGGCGCGAGGTATTGGCTGTGGCGCAGTTTCTGCCACATGGCGCAGAATGGCGCAGAATGGCGCAGCCGTTCCACTCCTGTGTGTAGTAGACAAGGACCTGACCGTGACCTTGCTGAATGGCTCATACCCTAGTTACACGGGCGCACTCAACTGTCAGTGAGTCAATGACAGAATTTTTCAACTGACATTCATCCCAACTCAGTTGTCCGGCGGTACACTTTCACAGGCTTTCCGAACCCAGTTGGGATACACGTCACGTGACTAACACTAACAAAAAATATTTCTTGAAAGATAAGAATATTTTACAAAGTGAAAAAGTATCAACACGTTTTTTTTTATTGTATTTGCGAGATTGCATATCAAACAATAACAAACGATCTTGTTTTAAAGTGGACCTGAAAACAAACGAGGTCGAAACAAACGCAGACAGCGAAACAACACATTGATAATACCCTTCCAGGAGTTAAATGCTCGGTAGTTTACTTGCTCGCGTCAGAAGTTTTACATACCGGTAGATTTGTCCAAGATTTTCTATTTTGAGCTTCACTTGCTTCACGATGAAAAGCTCGACTGGCTCAACGTCGGCGCTCGCCACTGCCGAGTTGAGAAATTGAGTGATGCGGGCGAAGATGACCGCATTTCGCTTCGCTCCGCAAAGAGAGGCGAGGTTATCTTCCCAGAGGAATGTGAGGGTCAGCGTTGTATCGCGCATCCAAATCAAGCACTTCTGGCCGCCGTTTCCTCTCGCGGACGCTGCTGACGTGCTCGCACCGGAATTTGTGATCACCATCTTGAAGGAGCTCCGTTGAATTGATGGGGGTATTCAACTGAGGTGCTCAACCTCAGTTCAACTCGACTGTCATTAGCGGCTCGATGACAGATGGCGCCGCCGTGTAACTCCGGCCAGAGCCGTATATGGGGAGAGTTTGGTCAGTCCATGATCTCGCCGCCGTACCGCTCTTCTCCCGAGCGAGCCAATCAGCACGCGGCGCAGAGCGAGAGGCATGAGCTCATGCGCGTGAACTCCGGGCTGCTCGCAGCCGAGTGGGGAAGGCCGCCATTTTCGTTCATTCTCCCGAGGAATGCATGGGATCGGCATCTAACTCTCGATTATTTCCTTTTATATCGCTGGCTCTGGCAAGACAATGATATTCTGTTATTCCTCGGTGGGTAAAAAAGCTAATAAATGAAGTTTTCTCGACGTATGGCCACAAACTTTTATTCAGGCGAAAAAGAAGTCGGCCCGTAGCAGACGACGCGTAGCCTCAGCAGTGCTCTTCTCCGACCAGTCTCCGACAGCGTTGCAAAAAAATGGCGCGGTCTCCTCTCTGCTCCCTTCTTTCTCTCTCGCTCCTTCGGCGCTCTCCTCCCTTTCATTTACTTTTTTCTTCTCCGGCGCCTTCGTCGCTACACCCACTGGCCAAACTCTCCCAATATACGGCTCTGACTCCGGCTGATCGCGATTGAGTCAACTGTCGTTCACTCAATGGCAGTTGAGAGCGCCCGTGTAACTAGGGTATCGCACGCTTTCGCCAGCACTCGACTTCGCGTTTCCCATTCTGAATTCATTCCAAATTCAAGTTCGGAAAATCAAATATTTCGAATTTTTTCGAGTTCGAAAAATGAGAAAGTTTCGATTAAACGTTCCAAGTCTGAATTTCATGGATGGAAAACTAAATTTCTCAGTTTCCAACTACGTTTTCATGAATTTATCTAAAAAAAATCGCGAAGTGTGCTACAAATTTTACTGAAAACATTGCCCATTTCTTTTACGCCGTGAATATACCCTTTTCTCAGCGCTGTAGTACTCACGGTACTACCTGTATTACTCGTTAGCTGTCGTACTTATGAAACATCCACTGGACTGGTTGAACGGTTCATCGAAAAGCCCTGAAACGGTCAGGTCAAGGTACTTCCTAATTATATGCAAACTAGTAGCAATTCGATCAAACTTCGCCTACATTTAATGCTGGCATAAGGCAACTAAACATGCGGGACAATGCATTTACATAAAGGCATGCACACAGTCTTCCAGAAAATTTTTAGTTGCTTTGGGTGCTTATATTCGGCAGAATAACCCGTGTGATAAAAAACAAAAACATTGAACACAACCACAGAACACAACACAAGTCAGGATTGAAAGGAATCCAACCAGTCTAAATTAGGGGACAACATGGCATACCACAACTGATCACGTCACGACCGGTTTTTATCAGGCGAACCATATTGCCGCTGCCTGGAACGTTTCTTTTTCGATGAGTGGAGATATTGTCCACTCTAAAAGGCAGCCGGTTACTACAGATGATGAAGTTTATCATTACGCCTCGTTTATCAGAGGGGTTTACCCGCCGATAAACTAACATTCCTTCTTGTTGCCATGGCCGTCAGCTCTGCCTCCCTCTCCGAAAAGAAGAGAGACGGCGGCGATATGTTGTGAGTCATAGGGTGGAAAGTTGGGCGTGTTGGTTGTACACGTTTAACCAAAAAGTAAACCAGCGCCAAACAAAAAAAAAAGAAAAGACGAAGTGCAAAAAAAAAAAAAGCACTGACTCTCAACTGATTTGTTGGAATAAAACACAAACCGACAAGCATCACGGATCCTCAAAAATCATCAAGTCACCGCTCCCCGCACGTGTTAAACCTGCTCAAGAATGTCAACTCTGTCAGATAATGCGATAGAAGGCGAACTGATGTACACTGTGATAGGTGCGGTTGCAAACACATTTCTTGATAAACAAAAAACGTGTATCTTAGGAGAACACAGTCAGCAGATGACTAGTGAAATTTTAAAAGCTTTTTTTTTTTATATTTCGAAGCAAAAAAAAAAAAATAATGCGTTTGGCGTTCTTGATGAGGTTTGACACGTGCAGGGCAGGGATCTGATTTATTTTTGAGGATCAGTGATGCGTGTAAATTTTTGTTTTCTCTCAATCAACCAGTGGAGAGGCAGCGATGTTTGTACACTTAGTCTTCTTGTACTCCGTTATATTCGGCGCTGTTTTCTTTTTCCCCAAACATGTTCTGAGTCAGTGGCGTCACTGGGGTCAGCGATAACTGGGTCGCCCATACCGCACGGCCGCCATCACCGGCGCCGATGTTTGTTTACCCCAAGAGCCCCTCCTGATATGTGCCAGGGCGGCGCTTAGTCAGAATCGCGAATAACCTCCTCTCCCGCCTTCGCGTCTTCTTTCTCATGCGCAGAACTCAAAAATGAGGCGACATGCGAGGCGTATTGAGCCATTGAGCTCGGCGGCGAATAACCGTTGAGGAAGACGGGTCATATCAGATCAAGGCAGAAAAGCTATCTATGTACGTACGCGTCATTGCCACGTACCTATCCCTTGCCCCTTTCGGCTATAAATTACAACATGAAATGAACCAAGGCAGTAAAAGCTTAGCGGCAGTGCAAAATCATTCTTGCGGATTTGAAAGTTTTGTAAAATGCAAAATCATTCTTGCGGATTCGAAAGTTTTGTAAAGTGCTTGTTGAATTTGAAGGTGTAAGTGGTTTCTTCTTTTGTGTATCACGTGGATTGAGATCTTCTGTTACCGGGATGCTTTGTGATTGTGGGTCGGAGAGTAGAGGGAGAGAGTGTACTGTGTACGCGAAGAATTCAGTCAAGTGTCTTCCGGATGAGGGGAGCTATTGTTCATTGCTTTGTGGAAAACGTCAAGGTCGTTTGACAATTGTGGTGGAAAGATGTGAGACCTTTGTTATCTTTTGGCTTTCGAGATCGGGAAGGTTCTGTGGTGAAGTTTGTGGAGTGTATATAAGAAGGTGACCAAATAAACTTGTCTTTAGCTGCGTTAGAGACGTGTCTTCGACTGTTCATTTTTCTTCTACTTCGAAACTTTCCCCTTTTCCTGCCTCAGTCTCGGGCTAAGAACAAAATGGTTAACATCCACCAGCTCGCCTGCGCAATCACTACATTAGTAGTAAAGGTGCGATACAATGCCACTGACCGCGAAACACTTTCTTTGCTTTCCCTTCTTTAATACTCTTACTTAACCGAGTTGTCCAATCTTATCGGCCCACTCAAGGCCGCTAGTCACAGCATCGCATCCCTCTAATATTATCATAACTTTCAACCGTATCTATGTTTATGAAGTACTGCTGGCGCAATGGTTTTCGTGACTGTGACAACAAGGCTAACGCAAACATTGAAATTGAAGTTTTGCGAGTGACTACGGGGATCAAACTTCTCCGGAGCAGGCATAAAAAAAAGCTCTCCGGATCAGACGTGTCACGCGCCCCGTCTTTTTGACACGGAGCCAACGGACCGGTTCGCTCAGCGAGCGCTTCGCCGGCTTCAGGATTCAGATCAACATGCCGCACGCGGAGAGATCGTTCGCATTTCTCGAGAGCTACGGCGTGTGTGTGTGCAGACGACGTAGTTGGAAAAGGAAGGAGAAGCAATCCTAAATGTAGGCTCATAGGCCAGTCAGTCGGGAATCCGATCGCAGAGCGCGCGCCGAAAGCACGATATCTACCAAGAGGACGGGCGTTTCGTCGATAATACTTATAGTTTCGGAATCGCGCTGAGAAGCCCGCAAAGAAAGCGAAAACTTCAAGTTAGCTCACATGCATGCCCGTGAAGCACGTAATAAAATGATAATGCCTATAAAGCACGTATGAAACCGCTTGAATGGTCAAAATGTAAACGCCTTACCTTTCACGCGAAGACGGCCGTGGGTTTCGAACGAAGATCCAGATAGCGTGGAGCCAACCAGAGTGATATCATATCCAGTGGCGCCTGTAGTGTTGTAGTACGCCATCTGTACATCAGATGGCGCCATGATTGATAGTGTGTGTTGTTAAAACAAGATGGCGCCATGATCCTTTCAGCGGCACGCGCCGTGTCTCATACATGGGTAAATTACTTCCAAAATATAATTTAATTACAATTACAATTACTTTGCTCCATTGCTCCAAATGTCGTTTTATTACAATTACTAATACATGAAAGGTAATTTACTACAATTAATACTACTGCATGAAAGTTAATTGATTACAATTACTACTACATGGAAGATAATTTATTACAATTACAAATTACTTTGCAATTACGTATTTCTGGGAGCGCCCCGACCTGGAAAATATAAATTTAAACGAGATGTTTAGAATGCAGCGCATTTGTTCATTTCTTGCCCAATGTTTGAGGAGGCTCAACCATCGCTGTTCACGTATTGTAATTTTCTTTTGCGAATTTTGTTAAATTATTGATAGAACTTGACCGTTTTTGGTAATGGAGTCCTAGGTTCTTACATTTTAAATACATAATGAATTAGTTTATATACTTGAAACCGCTAGATCGCTATAATAAAACTGGGCTGACACACAATTGTCAGTTAGGCAAATAAAAATGCGACAATTAGTCATTTCTGAATATTTTAATACTCTTCATATAACACTACAATCCACAAGCGCTAATACGACCAGATTAACATGCAAATATTTTATGTTAGTGTAAATTATTTACATTGAGTGGAAATTATATTGGCTCAGAAATATACAAGAACTGAATTGGGGCTGACGAATCAATGGTGAGGATATTCACAGATGCGAGGTCAGTCTCGAAAATACTTATGCAAAAAATACCCGAAGTAAAACCAACAGGAAATAAACTTCAGAATAATACAACGAAACAGATATATATGCGCCAGATATGGAAGAGGGACGTAAAAAGCTTAAAAGAAGAAAAATAACTTCGTAGACAACTAAAATCCCCAACCTCGCGGCTAAAACCTGAAGCTCAATTTTGTTTCTTTCAATATGTTGGCATGTTTAAGCTATTGTTTTCTGCTCAGACTACAGACGGCGCCAAGCGGCGCCGATGAGGTAGGCTCGAAAGAGGATTGTTCCTTAGCCCGCAGGTATGAGCAGCAAAACAACAAACGCAACACTATTCTTCTTGTGCGTGTGTGTGAGTACATGGTGTGCGAGTGTGCCGTCAAGCGCTAGGACGCTTGTGCGAGTGCTGAGGCTTTCAGAGATGTTCCGTCGGCGCCGCAGTCTTGCAAAAGTAATTGTCATTGCGCTTGAAATTTTGCTATTACTGACGCTAGAAGGTAAGTAAGTTACAATTACAATTTCTTTTAGCCGAATGTAATACGTTACAATTACAAATTATAAAGTAATTAAATTACAGGAATTGAGCTACTGTAATTAAATTATTATCCAAGTGTGCCATGAATGCGTGTAGATATTGTGAAAAGAACCAGTATCATTCCAACTCCGAGATGGTCTGACGCGTCTTCGTCTATTCGGTGCGCCCGCTCGGTCCCGGGCCGCCTGCTTCGTGTCCCACGTGCCACGCCATGTAAGCCTTCCCATCGTTTCATAAGCCTTCCGAGGCTCTGGCCTTTCCGTAGCCTTCATGTTTCTTCCCACCCTTTCACGGTGGCCCTCCATGACCACTCTAGTCCCACTTACAGTAAAATGGTATGCGGTGGTCCCACTCAAGGCCACTTCCGGTGACCGGGCGTTGACAGCGCCCCGAGAGCAGTATGGGGAACTATAGCTCCTTTTTTTTCTTTGTTATTTGATTTAGTTAAACTGTCTCAATAGTACGAATTCCTGATATTTACATTATTAGTTTTAGAAAACATTCGTAACCGCGCGGAGCCATGGTTTTATATAGTAAGGCAAAAATAGCAGTGGACGTTAACCACCGTTAAGCCCATTAGCTCAATTAGCCTTCAAGAGTTCACTGCCCTGCGCCCCGCTTCTCCGAAGCCATGTTTTTAGACTTCAGCGGTTTCGTTGTCGGTGATCGCTAGGCGAATATCCATTTCTAAGGGGCATTTCCCTTTCAGTTAGCCTCGCTTGGTGTTTTAATTTGACGTGCGTTTTCGAATCGCGATGCAAAATTGTCCCAGAGGGGCCTCCTTGGGCAGAAGCCGACCAATCCATTTATTTGACCTGATTGGGATTGTGCTCCAAGTTCATTACAGGTAGCTGCATACATAATTTAATGTGTTCATGCTACCCTGCGTGCAACGCCAGATACGAGTATGTTTTTCTCGAACGGAGTGCATATCCGGCGTAGCCGATTAACGTTATTGGTCAGTGCGCGTTACGTGCGTCCGTGCGCTATACGACATGACTGGAAGACGCGACTCGAACGTAATTACTTGTTCACGCTTTATAATATCCGCGTAACTTCCACGGAACGAAAGATTCACACCGCTTTACTGGGAAAATAAAACGTTCCATGGCAAATCCGGTTGCACACGAACGAACTTGCGTTTTGCAATTCTGCAAAATAATAATAAAAGAAAGCTTGCAACAAATTGCACGCTTAGAAAAATAATAATTCTGCGCCGCTCTAAAAAGTCAATTTATCAGTTATTATATTTACATGCGAGCAAAGAAGTTGACAGGGTACATACATCTCAATGGATTTAGAGCCCGGTGTAGTGTTGAAGAAATTAAACGCAGAGTCACCTCTAGAAATAGCGCATCGTATATATATCAGTTTCTGAGATTCACACTGGTCATGTCTTGTCAGAATTCCTTGTGAGCACGGCAGCGTCTCGAAACCCGCCGTTCAATATGGGTCGAACCCTAGTCGTCTATCTCTGCCAAACACGGCGCACAGTAAGGGACACAATTATTACTTGTGTATTCTATAAGCGAAAGGTGCATGCAATTTTGTACATTCACTGTATGTTATTACTTCCTTGTTCCAGCATGGTGGTTCCTCAAAGAAGTAAAGAGACAAGTGAGAGCCACCGATGAGTGATGGCAAGCTTTAAGGGTTTAACTCCCAAGACAAGGCCGGTCAGCAGCCAGGGGATTAAGTGAAAAAACTCAAGAGGTCGTCTGGGCCACAAGAGGACAAGCAGAGACCGTATGACGGGAAAGTTAGAAGTTGTGTCTGCTCCTAGACACATACAACCTCAGCATAGGCAGCACGGGATTTTTCTGGTCATCATTATTGCGGCCAATATGAGCTGAAACGCCATGATGTGCGGTGCGGGGAAGTATCAAAGCCGTGTGTCATAGTTTTTCTGAAAACGGCGATACCCGAAGTGACCAAGAGAAGCTACCTTCTGCGCTCGTCGACCTATGTGTCATCTTCTAGTAACGGTGATACTCATTATGTTACATCGCCAAAAGACATCGCTGATGAGTTTGCCTCGTTTTTTAGCAGCTGCTACTTACCGCCCATACATTCGGTGAAGTCAGATCTAATCAATGATCCCAGTGATGGGGACTCGCTCTCCTTGTTCAGTGTTGCTACACGGGACGTTGAAAAGGCGATTATAAAGCTCAAGCCAAAATCGTCAGTGGGCACTGATGACATTCCACCATTTATTATTAAAGGATGCTGTGGGCTTCTAGCGCAAATTTTAGCCCATATTTTTAATGTATCTTTGCGTACCAGTATGTTTCCAGCAATATGGAAGGAAGCCATAGTTGTGCCCATTCATAAAGCTGGTGATGCTGGTATTGTATCAAATTACCGTCCTGTGTCACTACTGTGTGGTTTTGCTAAAGTATTTGAAACCATTATGCAAGAATGTCTCTTCTCTCATTTATCTAAGTATCTGACGCTGCAACAACATGGTTTTATTAAAGGGCGCTCTGTCGAAACTAACCTTTGTACTTTTCTACACTACGCAGCCCCGGTCGTTTCAAACCGAGGGCAGGTTGACTCGGTATATTTCGATCTTACAAAGGCTTTCGACAAGGTTGACCATGCTTTGCTTGTACATAAATTGAAACAATATGGTTTCGCCCCTAAACTTTGTGAATGGGTTTATAGTTACTTGTCATCGAGGAAAAATTTTGTTCGAGTTGATACTGTTTTATCTAATCCGTTTTTCCCAACTTCAGGCGTACCCCAGGGGTCAGTGTTGGGGCCACTGTTGTTCCTGGTATTTATAAATGATATTTCAAAATGTGTAAAGATTGCTAAAGTGCTTTTATTTGCCGATGACATTAAGTTATTCTCAAGCATTGGTTCTGAAAAAGATTGTGATGCGTTACAGTCTGATGTTTCGAGTATTTTGCAATGGTGCTCATCCAACCGTTTGCCTTTGAATATAAACAAAACTAAAGTCATCTCGCTAACTAGACGTAAAAATCCCTTACATTTTAAGTACACGTTGGGAAACTGTATTATTACTCGAACTGATATGATCAGGGACCTCGGGGTGTTAGTCGATTGCAAACTGACGTTCAGTTCTCATGTAACTACTATTTGTGGTACCGGGTTCAAAATGCTTGGTATGATCTCCCGTTTGACTCGGCACTTCCAAGCACCTGAGGCCATATTACGTTTATTTTGTGCTCTGGTCAGGCCCAGGCTCGAATTCGCTTCTGTCGTGTGGAACCATTTAACGGAGACTGAATCTAGACGTATTGAAGCGGTGCAAAGGCGTTTGGTTCGCATAGTCTATGACCGATACTTCCACAGGAGACTTTACTTCGACCACCATTCTCTGCTTAAGATTTTGAATCTCAGCACTTTGGATGACCGAAGGCATTGCCGAGATGCGGCTTTTCTACAAAAGCTTATCCAGGGTGTAATTGACGTACCTGACCTTTTGGACAGCATAAAGTTACGTGTGCCAACGAAATTCACGCGACAGTGCGACATGTTCTACCCCGACATGCGATTAAAGGAGTCACCAATCTATCGTATTCAGACATCATGCAACCTCCTTGTCCAGCACGATTTTTTTTTCATGCCTTATTTTACCTTTAACACCTGATGTGTATTTTATGTACTTTGTTACGACTGTTTTATTATGCTGA